TTATTCACTGTTGAGGTTTCTGAAAGCTGTGTTTCTAGACAAGTTTCCCCATGAATCCGAAGGCATTTTTATTACATGATTTTTCCCAGATCAGCCACTTTTAAGACACAATGTGCGAATTATAGCAGGACGTAACGTATCGTCAGCAGGTCAACACAAGAGTTAAAGGACAATCTACAAAATCTTGGCTGGAAGCATTCTGGAGAGCACTGTACATTTCTCAAGACAGCTCTTGGAATTCACAGAAGAAACTAAGGAGTAATAAATAGCACTTGATTTGTAAGTCACAGGTAAGTAAAGGGAATATTTAGAAATAACACTTTAAGAAGATACCAAATACAATAATTAGATTAAGTTATTCAGCTTTAATAGAGTGATGCTTGACGTAGCGAAGGATGGGCATGAGTGCTTGCCATCATTTCATCCCTGAGGATGTCCACTTCTGACAGAACTCATCCCACACATCTGAACACAGCTTCTTTCACTCATCAACCTCTCCTTGTCATCTTTGGTGATGGTGGTGGGGTCAAACAATTTTCTTAGCCATTTAAATAAAACAATCATTTAACATGAACTAAGTAATTTAAGATTTCCCACAGACAAAATCAAATTTCATTATTTTTTTAGAAACCTTTTTTAAGATGGTATTTTTGTGTGGTCCAAATGTACAAATCAGGGTAGATCGATCGCTATAAACTCTGGATGAACATCTGAAACAAAATTTTCTCCCATCATGTTAATAATTTTGAGAAAATAATTAACATATGAAAGTCATGAATAATAAAACTCTGTACTCGTCCATTTTATCTATCCTCAGTACAGGAAAACTTGGAACTACTGCCTAGCAAGGTCTGTCCATTCTACAGTCCTCTGCCTCAAAAGTTAACTTGAGAATCCACAGGACTCCTCTCCACTTGAACTAACACTTGACGGCTACACAAATAAAAGGTGGCCTGATATTCACTTTGATGTTAAAATACCTCACCAAGTTCTATTAGAGTATAAGTTGTTTGTAAAGAAAGAAAAAAACAGCAAAGGTAAAGTCTGCGTTTACTGTGGCACACGAGTATTCTGCCACTGAAGGAATAAACTCCACGAGTATTTCATTCATACTAGGACCACTTCCGAAAGAATTTACAATGAGACAGAGAAAAAGAAAAAAGCAAAGAAAGGAAAAAGGGCTGGCCAGGCATGTTGGTACACCAGGGATAATAAGGCCAGAGTTCAAGGCCAGCCTGGGTTACAGACTCAAAAAAACAAAAATCAAACCAAGAAATCTAGCTTCAATCATCTGCTTATCAATAGGAAACACGTTTATTCTGTACTTTGAAATCAGCCATTATATCTTTATTGGCCTCCATTATAACAAAAAATAACTGAAAAAATTTAAATACCAACAAGGTATCTAATCTCCTAAAGTCAAGGAGGTAAATTAAACACCAATATGCTTTATCCTTGAAAATATTTTCATGTAGCTACAAAAAATAGAAAAAATGACATGAACATAGGAAAACTACCAGGGGGTAGTGGGCGTGGACAGGTAATAGGGAATGAGTATGAGCATAGTATAAATATACAAGTATGAAAATGTCACAACAAAACCCTAGTATTTTCTAAAATTATTGTGTGAGACACAAGTACAATAAAAAGGTTCACTGAAACAATTTAACAGTCAACATTTAATTTTGCATTGGTAACTTGGGAATAGTATGTAGTCACATTTTTCTTGACTACTTATTTAGGATGCTGATCTTGGGCTTCATCTGGAATGTTTTCAATGCATTCTTAACTAGCACCAAGGACAGAAACAACAATGTCCCAGTATTAAGAGTATCTGAGCTTGTCAACCAGAAGACCTGAAGGAGGTGAAGAAGTGCACTACTTCCTCTTTGTCTGAGGACCAGGAATACCACACTGCACACTAGGACACTAAGAATAAAATATCAACTGTATGCTACCTTTCTTCTGTGGTTTAAGTATACAAATACTCTCTATGCCCCTACACTGCAATGATGATTATGACTACAGCCAGTGCAGAACCAATAAAACAGGGCTACTATAAAAAGAAAGCCCTCTGTCAGAGAGTGTATGTTCTGGCAGGAGTCTCACGGAAAAAGGCTCACTGGCTTGCCTAGAGCATTAGTATCACCAAAGGCTGTTCAGAAAGCAAGTTTCCACAGCTATGCTAGAATATGCACTCCCAGTGCTGCCCTACCTGGTGCCACCACACATGCTCTGTCATCTACGTTAGCACAGGTTAACTGGCCTGAGTAAGTTACTCAGGACAGATAGCTGGATATTTCAGAAAGACGTAGAAGACTGGATGCAGAGACTACAATTGATTCTGTAGGTACACAAGCACTGTAAATTCCAAGTAAGTAGAAGGCAGGTCTTGGAGGAATCACATAGCTGTGCAAGGTCATTCTCTTGAGAAAAGCTGTAACTCTGTTAAAGTATAGTCCTCTGAATTTCTAGGGCAAAAACTGAAATTTCCACTTAATAGAGGAATGGACGTGTGTGCATATTTGTGATATATATGTAAATATATCTACTCTTATGTCTAATGCAAAGTACTATCACCACCATCACGCACTTCCTTCCCAAGAGCTCTTTATGACACAGAAACTGACACACTTGCAGCGAAAGTTAATGCCACTATCTTACCTTGTGTTATCATGAATGGACCTCTTACCAGGAAGCCTCTTAAAAGTGAATTTATCTGTATCTTTGTTTACTTCTTCAGTCAGTTTTAGCAACCCCTTTGAATGTGTGTTCATTAGTTTTTCAGTAATTTTGGTTTAGACAAAAAGTAACCTATGTATGTTTTCTATTAATTTTCCACTTTGGATCTGCCCTACCTAGCAGATACTCTATACTATGAATTCAACCAAGAACCTTTTCAACTATCATGTTTCTCTTTAAGATACACAATCATGTATAATGAATACATCCAAGAAACAGTAAATAGTTGTATTTTTTAATCCATCAACTGAAGTAGGACTTAACCTCAAGTCCTCACAATCTAATGGTACTCATTATTACATCTTGCACATGTCTGCAACTTCACTATGCTTTCCTCAACCTGACTCCAACTTGGTAAACAACTGGAGGAAATGAATACTTCTGATTTTTAAAAAAAAGGGAGAACTTCCTTGCCCTTTCAACATCCTGGTATTGGCATTAGGTTAAGGAGAAATCTTTTACAGGCAAACCAAATATATGTATCTGAAAATACAGTCCTTATATATATTATAGCACTTATGAAGTTACCCCAAAGCCATCCACTTGAGTCCAATGGGTGCGTGAATCACTGAGAAAAGCTGACTTTGGTGAGAATGGGGGAATCGAGCCATTGTTTCCAGCACAATATTCTTCAGTTCTGAATGCTACTGAAAACGAAAACAGCTGCAGCTCTCTTTGGCCTCAGCGACCTAAGTTTAGTCAGTTATACACAGCAGAAACTGCACAGTTAACCACAGTTATTTAAATGTGGTTTCTGAAATGAACATGAGAATTCATTCCTCTGCCTTCCTGCACATGTATGTGTGGTCTATGTGTAGTTTATGCACACGCAGGGAAGCCAGAGGACACCAGCCTACTGCTCTCTCCCACTCACTCACTGCCTTATTCCCTCAAGACCAGGTCTCACACTGAAACCGGAGCTAAGCTGACAACCAGGGAGGCCTAGCGACATTACTGAGGCCGGCCACCTCTCACAGTACTGGGTAAATGCAAACACAACTACATCTAGTTCTTTATATGCATTCTGGGGATTTGACCTCAGGTCCTCAAACTTGTGTGGCAAATGTTCTTACCTGCTGAGACATCTCCCAGTCTGTAGCTTCATTACGTCATGTAGGTTGTGATTAATCAATACATCCTTTGGGAATAAGAGTAACTTTAATGAGAACAAATTTTCAGATTTGGGTGGTAGATAAGTGCACAAAAATATATTTGATATTAAAAGTATAAAACCCAATATGAAGCTCCAGTTTCCATTTGGAATACCTATTTTAACTGTACAGAGCTAATTTGGCTGTGTGATCTTTTGGTATGGGTAACCTTGGTGTTTTTATTTACAATGCTTTTATAATAAAGCATAAAAATTAAACAAAATAATAAAAATTTCCATTGGACATTTAAAAATTAAGTTAAAGAATACTACAAAGAAAAAATCTAGAATGAGGGTGATTCTATGACATAGTGTGGATCTTAAAAAGTCAACATGAATACAGAAAGATGACAATGGGGATTATCCAGATTAATCCCCATTAATTAATTAACAGAGTAAAGGGACATTATATAGGTGACATATATTCCTGGAATGGATACTAGATTGAAGAATGAAGCACATACACATATGACATGACATGGTCATGGAGAGTAACTATGGTAATATCTTAAGAATCACTGTCTGTTTTCCTGAACATGAAAGTGGTTTACATTATATGGGAGGCTGTCCTTATTCTTACAGGAAACATGAAGTAGTCATGCATACAGCTTCCATTTGTAGCATTTTTATGCATTCAATAAAGTAGGTGTGTACACACATGTACATCTACATACAAATACACATGTACATAAATACACACAAGGACATAGAGCAAATGGCAGCAATAGTAAATGTAGAAGAAGGACGTTTGGGTAGTCAACATTTTACTCTTTCCGTCTTTGGTGCAGAAGCCTCTCTGTAGGACTGAAACTTCTCTGTGCAGACGGCTGCTGGGTAAAGCACCACCCACAGCACCACCAATACAGTAGATATCAGAAAGATAACTGAAAACACCACTTTAGATAGTTTCTTCTAGATATTCTTCACAATAAGAGATACAGGCGGTTATTAAGCCCCAGCACACCAAAGAAACAAAAATTAAAAGCCTAACAAAATCATTGGAAAACAACAAATGAATCAAAATTTCAAACTTAAGTTTTGTTATTAACATAAAAAGCTTTAACAGGGAGCTATTATTATTATAATATAATTGGTAAGTAAAATGAGGTAACAGGCAAGAAAAATAAAACTGGTTTTAATGTATTTTGGGTGAAAAGTTGACCAATTATACCAATAAACCTCATATTAGGAAAAAATTCCTACAATTTATTAGAGTTGCACAGTTTACTATGTAGGGCATTAATCTAACACAAACTTAAGCACTGGACAAAGGATATTTTCAAATTTAATGAGGCAGATGTCACACATGTAAGTCCTCTATATTAGAAATGAATGATGCTGATTTATTGAGCAAGTAATTAAAGCAAAGAGGAAAGAAAAAATATTTCAGAAGTAATTAATAAGGGCATCTCTGGGCACATATTAGAAAAATGTTCATCCCCAAGTAGGGGGTGACAGGTAACAGTGACAGAAGATAAAGGGTCAGGAATGTCTATAAAATTATCAGTGCACGGCAAAGGCACACTGACATGATCACATCCACTGCTGCACACAGGGCCTGCAGCAGCACAGGACAGGGCCTGCAGCAGCACAGGACAGGGCCTGCAGCAGCACAGCACAGCACAGGGCCTGCAGCACAGCACAGCACAGCACAGGGCCTGCAGCAGCACAGCACAGCACAGCACAGCACAGCACAGCACAGCACAGCACAGGGCCTGCAGCACAGCACAGCACAGCACAGCACAGGGCCTGCAGCACAGCACAGAGTCTGCAGCACAGCACAGCACAGGGCCTGCAGCACAGCACAGGACTGCACTTTGCTCATTTAGCTGTCACTTTCATAGAAACACTTCCCAAACCAAAAAGTTTCTTCATAGACATTTACTCTACAGATACTTTGATTTAAAATTTTTCATTGACAGCTATCCATATTTTGATGAAATAGACCACTACAAACAGCTGTCAATGAAAATTTTGTTGTTATTGTTGTTGTTGTTGGTTTTTCAGACAAGGTCTCATCATGTAGCCTGGGTGGCATGGAACTCACTTTTTCAACTAGGCTGGCCTCAAACTCACAGAGCGATCTACCTGTCTCTATCTACCTCTGAGTGCTAGACTTAGTGTATAATTTATCACACACAGCAAAGATTATCTCGAAATGCAACTTGCATGGGATTTAAAACAAAACTATCTGTGATCCCAATTAGCCCATCTACCCTTGTCGTGCCACTTGAAGGCGAAAGGCCAGTGCTCCATTTTCACTGGAACTTTTCTACCAAGTATTTGCATGCTTAGCCAAGTAAAGTCACTTAGACAAAGTCAATCACTCATTCAACTCTTTATACACTCTACTACATGATAAAAAATATATACGCACTACAAAAGTGGTAACTTTTTTCATTTTGCCACTAATGAACTTATAGAAGCATACTAAAAAATATTTTGTTGATGTTTTCACACAAAGATATCAAAAATTAAAGTGGGAATATAATTGTAAATAGGAACTTATTAAAATGAAAATACAATATGACTTAGAGGAAAGTATATCACTTAAACCATATTTAAATTAAACAAAAGATTATAGTCTAACTGCTAGTAAGGTTTTATTTAAAAATATCTAAAATGTGACACGTAAATTAAAAACTTTACTATTTGATGATGACATACTTTAAACTCAAGTAAAATTAAGGGTGGAAAAGAGCTTTAAATATGAACCTGTGAATTAATCACTCTTAAGATTATCTGCCAAAGATGGAAGTCATTTGTCAAAAAGAAAATAGACAAGTCTTGGAAATGAAAATGTAATTTGCATTCACAAGAGGAAAATTTAGTTCTATTAGTTAAATATGGTACCAAAATTTTAGATTATTTAAGTACTGGTATAGCACAACGAGGGAAATTATAAATATTTATGACTAAAATATCAGTGGAAAACCTTTTTGTATGGATTAAAATAATTCATTAAAATTACTCCTAAATAAGAAGCAAAAACAATGTCAATAGAACTACAAATGAGACACAGACAGAGGGAAAAACTTAAAACTCCAGTTTGAAACTTAATAATAAATATATAAACTATTAAAAAAAAGTCAGGAATATAAATTACTTTCAAACACCTACTTATAGCCATTTTAATGAGAATTGAAAGATACAATGTGTCAAAGACATATCTTAAAAAACTAGCGGGGTAAGACAAGTGAATCAAATTTTGTTTTGATCTTAAAAATTACAAGAGACTCTGAAAACGTAGTGTTAGTTCACTTTCTTCCCAGTTGAAAACTTTCTATGCATTGCTTCTATCTTTGGTGTCACTGCTACCAAAAAACCAGAATACCGCTAATCACCACATTCAACTAGGGAAAAGTAAAATCAATATTACTTCTTGAAAAATAATATATAAAGACTAATTTTTGTCTCATGGTCCACAATACCTGGAACATCATGCCAAAATACAAAAGTTTAAAGGGAACATTAATCTCCTCTAACTGCACCAAAAATGTGGCTACTGTATGCTGGTGTGAAGACAGCCAGTAGTGGGCAGCAGCTACAGAAAGACATAACATACATAGGTTTTGCTCACAATTAGTAAAGAAAGGTTCAATTTAATGTGACACTACAACAGGACAACAATGCCTTCGGGTCAATGTGCTACAACTTGATTCTCTTGCAGCTTAAAGAGATAGTGTACTTAAATTTACACAAAACATTAGCAAACATGGTAGTTGTTCATGATTAAAATAAAACAGCAATGTAAATTAATTTAACACAGTGTTAAATATATTCACATGATCACCATTGTAATTCAAATGGTCACTAATGAAGTTACATGTCAATATATGTACATAACATTTGCCACAGCAGTTTTTGAACTTTTGAGTGTTGCAGACCAGGTAATTTTACAAGACAATAATCTTGTAACGATTCTTCATATTATGAAAGGAAATAAATGTTGTAAGTAGTTTCATTCCTCTGGGGGAGGGACGGACCTCTAAAAAGTCAGTGCAAATTGAAGATAGTTCTAACTTCTTGAGTACTTGAACTTGTTGACCAAGACAGATTCCTATGAGTGGAGGAAAAACAAATCTTAGGATGTTAATGAATCTCCTAACATTGTCAATGGCATTCAGCAGAAAACATGCCACCAAGAGGAACATCAAGTCCTATAGCAGAGCCTTCTGAGAATATGCTTGCTGTGGCTGAGGTGGCTGTTGGCTTCCTCCTCCTTGAGGCAGGGCTGATGATGTTAAAGTATAGTTTGGCACCTGGGATATATTAGGTCCTGCGTTCTGGTATATGGTGACATCAGCAGGCACAGGTACAGCAGCAGGAATAGGTACAGGTACAGCAGCAGCAGCAGCAGCAGCAGCAGGACTGTATATTGAAGCCTGACTGGGATACGAGTTTCCTTGAACAGAACTAACCATTGCACTGTGGAGGGAGGAAAACAATTAGCTAAACTAAATAATGAATTATATACCCATTCAGATATAAACATGAAAACTATTAAACATCCACTTACATACATTTGATAATTTATTAAAGTATCACACACTGTTATGTAAGCACTGGGATACTATGAAGGAAGAAAAGTTTCTACTATTAAAGAGCTTGTATTTTGGTAGGAGAAAGAAAAGACAATAAATTTATAGTATGTCAATGGTTAGTCACAGTGAAGAAACCAGACCATGGTAAATAGTACCAGTGGTACCTGGGACAAATGATTCTTATTTATGTAGGGTGCAAGGGGGAGGCCTTTCAGACTAAGGCGTCATTTAAGGAAAGATCTTAGGAAAGCACAGGAACCATCAGCAGCAGTCTAGAAAAGAACACATTAGGCTAAGGAAAAGAAGCCTTGGAGGTTCTAGAATGCGATATGTTCAAGACACAGAAAGGAGGCCAATGCAACTGTAGCAGATGAGCAAACAGCACAGAGATTAAGTGGCAGGGGAGAGAAGGGGCTGCAGAAGATTCAGTGAGTACCTTACAAGTCACAGAGCTACGCTTGTGAGTGACGGGAAACACACACTTGTTTTCTGAGGAGAAAGGTAATGAGATACGACTTGTATTTTGACAGGCTCATGGGAGTGGGAACAGATGTGAGAATGGCAGGTGTCCAGAGTCACAGTGGAGACAGAAGAGAAGAGTCACACCCTATTCTGAAGAAAGTGCCATTGAAATCTGATAAGGTCCAAGTAGTCTAGAATGTCTGGTTTTATAATTGATAAAAAAAAATAATTGCAATGGCAACTTACTAAAAGGAGAAAACTACACCTTGGACTATAGCTGCCTGGAACAAGAGAAGCATGGGCAAGAAGAAAGAATGGTTTGGACACCAAGAAAGATGTCTAGAAGACACAAGAAAACAGTCTGTAGTCCCAGGGGAGAGCAGGAGTCAAAACAGACACCAAGAATCCTCATTCAGAGGACCTGTAGGAAATGGCTGAGCAGAACAGAGCCGTCCATATAATGGGCGGGCCCAAGACTTCTTGATATAAAGGTGCATTTGGCAAGGGCAAATGAGGAGCAGGAAGCAAAAAGGGAAACCAAGTGACAATGGACTGAAACACATTAAAAATAGGGAAGGGAATGTGTAAAGCAGGGTAGGAGACTTGCGAAATGACCACAGAATCTGGCAACATGGACATCAGCAGCATCTTGACAGAACAGTTTTAATGTATTAGTGAGATGACCATCTCCCTATTTCCCTAAAAGTAAAACAGCCTAAAGGCACCCCCCCCAACAGCAATTACCAGCACATCTACCTGTGACCATACCTGATGAGCATCTACATCCTTATGTGCCTGACCTTACATGCAGTGGAACATTAATGCTGCCACTGAAGGAACGTATGTGTATGTGCACTCTACAGGTGCTTTCTGTAGGGCATGCTCTTTAAATGTTTGTGCTTCTTGTTCTCTAGTTAGTTCTTAGCTTGGATTCATTTTCTCTAGAACATTTTTGCCTTCCTTCATCGCTATCTGTTGCTCCTTGGTGCCATTAGATCCTGCTTGCACATCTGTCATTGTTTTGTGGATGACAGGATCAGAGAGAGATTACACTGGAGAAAATGATGAGGACTAGAGAATGAATGGACCAGAGTCTTCATGGATGAGCAACTCATTTTTATGTAGTAATGGACAGATTGATTCATAATGAACAAAAAGCTGTGCAGCCATGGTGATTAGGTAAGAAATTATTAGTATCCAAGGATAACATCAAGATATTAATCGAAAAGATTTATTTTGGAGATTAGTAAATAGTTATATATTAATTGTCAAGATAAACAGACAACACAGAGGAGAAATAAGAAAACAGCTTGTATAAACTGCAGGGTTTAGCCTTGGCTATCAGGTAAACAGTGGAACTGTGAACTGAGAAGAGTATAATATAAAGGGAGACAGCAAGTGTTTACAGGACATTTAGTACATTCCCAGAGCATAGTAATGATGCACACACACCCACTATCATTCCAAACATGCTACACTGTGAGAAAGAATTTCAGTATGCAGGCAATGTAGCAATCTCTGGAGCCAGAATGCCTGGTTTTGGATCTTAGCTATGTGGAACCTTAGTCCACATCTCAGTTTCCCATTAACAAAATGGAGGTGCCAATGTATCTCTCTCATAGGTTATTTTAAGGAGTAAGTCAGTCAATAGTGTTAAATATAAAGATGGAACTGGATCTTCACCATAGCCTCTGAGTTCTAGGCTTCATTACCTTAACGTCACTTTAGCACCCTAAACATGACAACCTAACTGTTTTAAAGCTCACGACTCTGTGCTACAACAGTGAGGTGCATATAGGAGCATTTGCAAACACTACTGCTTTCTATAAAGTGTGCCTGTGCTACCTAGAAACACTGTGCTAGTGAACTCTTAAAATCTAGCTTTTCTTGCTGTAAGGAAAAGAATTAGGCTGTGGCTTCTTACAAAACCCACTGCACACTACAGACGGGGAAGTCTGAACAACAATGCCAGCCTCCAGTTTTTCTTATCTCTGTTGTGATTACAGACAACGGGAGCCAATTAAAGAATTTTAACATGAACCCCAATAACCAATAATCAAATTACTTTGGGTAAGAAGCCTGGGTTTGCTGACTAGGAAGAGCAGAGTTTGCAGAAGGTGGAACTGCTCCCTGGCTGATGGAAGAGAGTTGCTCTGGGGGCAGACTGTAGCTCTGGAGATGGCTCATCTGTGCACTCCCTGTAACCAGGTAGGTACCACTTTGAGCAGGTCCTGGATATACCTACAAAAGGTGATAAGGAAAGATTCCATTACACAATTTTAATGCCTATTCCAAACTTATTCAGCAGAGGCATTCAAATACAAAAATAGCAAACATTAGAACTTCTTTTTTTTCTTTTTTTTTTGGTTTTTCGAGACAGGGTTTCTCTATGGCTTTGGAGCCTGTCCTTGAACTAGCTCTGTAGACCAGGCTGGTCTCGAACTCAGAGATCCGAGATCCGCCTGCCTCTGCCTCCCAAGTGCTGGGATTAAAGGCGTGCGCCACCATCGCCCGGCTTAGAACTTCTTTTAAATGTTATTGTACCAGTTGGAATTCTATGAAAAACAGTTTTTGGTAGACTGATGATTTTTAATCTTATTAAAAGTGTATGTGTGTTTTCAGGAATGTGTGTATGTATGAGTAGGTGGGAGCATGAGGAGGCCAAAGGCTGATGTCAGATGCCTTCCTGAACATTTTCTACCTTCTAACAGCCAGGGTCTCTCACTGGAACACAAAGATCACCTAATTGGGTACTACAGCTAGACAGCTTGCTCTGGAGATCCCTTCTATATGTCCACATGCTGGAATTACAGGCGGGTTACTATGCCCAGTTGGCATTTACAAGAGAGTTGGGAATCATCCAGTCTGGCAAACACTTTACCCACTGAACCTACTTCCTATTACAAATTTTTATTTTTAAGTATTACATGAACAGATTTTAATTTCACATAGAAGCAGTAAAGAAATACATCTTATACTAAAAAAACCTCTATATTAAATTAATGATATAGTTTCCATGTTGGTCTTTCAAAAGGTCTTTTTAATTTCTATTCTGTTTTTTTTTTTTTTTTGGTCTGTTTTTTGGAAGGTGGGAGTTGGGGGGAGTATGGAGGTGGGAGGATCTAGGGAAGAAAAAAACATGATCAGAACTGCATGAAAAAGTTTTAGTATATGAGAATCACAACACTTGGAAGTATACTTGAATCCATTGTTTTAATATATGAGAATCACAACACTTTGGAAGTATACTTGAATCCATTGTTTTAGAGCCCCAGACTGTATTTACAACTCACATTTTAGAAACTAATTTAATGAATAGAGAACATATTAACTTCTGAAGATATGGGTTAAGAAATGCTCTTCTAAGGTCCAGAGAGTCTGGTGTAGTATTCAAATCTATAGGTTTAGAATGAAGCTACAAAGCAAAAATAAATGTCTGTGAGACAAATGGAGGGGCTGTGTCTAGACAAAAACAGGCAGCAGGCTAGGTTTGTTTGCCAATTCTTATATCTAAAAGCTGTTCTTTTTGTTGTTGTTGTATTTAAATGTAAAGAGACAGAAGTTCCATTTTTTTTTCTTGAAGAAGGTTGGTTGCAATCCTGACTGGCTTGGTACAGCCTAACTATGTGGTACAGGCTGGCCTTAGACATGCAGCAACCTCCTGCCTCTGCCTCATCCTGTATATTGGGATTATAGTTATGCACTATCATATGCTCAGCCAACCTTTTTAACAATTAGCTTACCAGTATGAGCCACCAAGGCTGACTGAAATCTTAAACAGTCCGTCTTCAAGCATTCTTTTAGTTACTGTTAAAGTCTATTTATATATTTGAAAAGACATTCTACTGTATACATTGTATAAAAATTCTCATGTGCTAAGAAATTAACACAATCACCATGAAACCAATCACCCTCTATTTCACTAAATGATTTATGACAGATGCATATCAGAATCCCAAAGGTCTCCATTATAAGCACAGCTAAACAAGTTCTCACGGCTACATTTTATTATTCTTTGAAAATTCAATGTGAAACCAGTGACAGACACTATTGAACAGGTGCCATTCAAGCTCCTGATTCTCCACTTGAGGGTGGAGAATTCATCCTCCTGAAGATTGTAGTTTCTTGTTTCATGGGAAATGGGTCATAAAAGAAAATCTGAGCTAAGTTTTGGCTGCTCTAAGTGGACAAAACAGACTAATTATACCTAAAACTTGCTCAACTGATGGCCCAGGGGGCTCTTAAACAGTCTTGGGTGGAAAGAGGAAAAGGCGTTCCATGTTGAACACATGTAGGATAATGGAAGGAGGAGCAGCTTCCCCATGAAAGCCGCTCTGAGTGTACACATAAATATTCTGTTTTGTAGGTGTTCAACAGTTTCTCATTTTTCTCACACATTTAGGTCCTCCTCTTACAGGTAAGTAAACATTCACTTTTTGTTTAAAACAATTTTTTTAGTCATTGGATATGATACATTTTACTTTGGGGGCTTTTTATCACAGTCTACTAAAACATGATTGACATACAAAGAGCTGCATATATTTAGTGAATCCAACTTCATGAGCTAGAGATAAATATATAACACCCTTAAAACATAATTATAATCTATGTCATAAACATATCCATAACTCAAGGTTGACTCTCACCCTCTTCAATAAGAACACTTAACCAGGGCTGGAGAGATGGCTCAACGGTTAAAAGTATTGGCTGTTCTTTTAGAGAATCCAGGTTCAATTCCCAGCACCCACATGACAGCTCACAACGGTCTGTAATCCAACTCTAAGTGATTCAACACCTTCATACAAAATGTAAATGCAGGCAAAACACTAATGCACACAAAATAAAAATAAATCTTAACCAAAAATAACACTTAACCTAAGTAGTTCAGTGTAAAAAACTGTAGACACTCAGAAGAATATTAGATTTTTCTAAAAAAAAAATATAGAAAATCTGAAGGTTTATTTTTAATAATTTATTTATTTAGTTTTATTTTATGTGCATTTGTGCTTTATCTGGATGTTGAATCTCCTGGAGTTGGTGTTACAGACGGTTGTGAGCTGCCATATGGGTGCTGGAAATTGAACTGTCTTTTGGAAGAGCAACCAGTGGTCTTTAACCACTAAGCCTGAAACTTTATAATATGAACCTAAACTTTAAAGGCTTTGATACTACAGGTCTAGGATAGGATCAAAATACCTTTACTAAAAGAAAAAGCGTTGGGGGGAAACTACTTAGTGGGTAATTTTGCTACTTATACCTGTACAAGGAAAAAATTAAAAATGCACATATATAGAGACTAGTATATTCAGTATTATATATTTGCAAATTTAAAAATTCTATTAACTTTTTTATTGTAAACATTATGCTGAAGAAATTACACATTTGAGGCTGGAGAGATGGCTCAGTGGCTCAGCGGTTAAAAGCACATCCTGCTTCTAGGGAACCCAAGTTCAGTTCCCAGCACCCAAATTAGACAACTCAAAATCAGCTGTAAATCCAGCTACAGGGTAAACAATACCTTCTTTTGGCAAACAAGGGGCCCAGAACATACATGTGGTGTACACACACACACACACACACACACACACACACACACACACACACACAATCATGCATTTTACACAAACAGACATTCTAAACCATCTCAAGTATATTCAAGAATTTGAATAACACACCTGGGCTTTACAAAACATACCTGGGAACCAGAAACACCAGATGGCTGCATATAATACTGCTGATTCTGTAATTTTGCATACATAGAATACATTGGATCTTCATTCATTAATTTCGTATACAATGAGAGAGCTTCCATCACCTTCACATTTAGTTCTGAGAGTTCTGAATGTTTTCTGAAACATTACACAATAATTTGATTGCTAAATGACACAATGCTCTAGTGACTCTAAATACTAACAGATGGGACAAAAAGACCCTTCTCCCTTGGCTCTCAGGTGACAGAAACATGTTTTTAGGTTAGATCCCATGCTGGACTGTACCTGCAACTATTTAGATTTCTTCATTTATCAACAGATGCAGCCTGTGGGCTCTGGTAATGCCGGTTTAGTAAGCACAATGATATAAAAAAAAGGAAGAAGGAGAAGCCTTGCTTTTCAAGAAAGGGCAAATGAGTCTAAATCCTCACATCAAGGTACGAACAGTGAATAAAGAATGGTGCTTTAAAGTACTGTCTCTCTGTGTGGTGTATATCACAGCTGCATGCACACACAGAAGCCTGAGACACATTGGGTTATCTTCTCTATGGCTCTCTACCTTTAGTTCTGAGTCAGGATCTCTTACTGGACTTGAAGCTCATCGATGCACCTGGGCTGAGCAGGGGTCCTCAGGGATCTGCCTATCTGCACCACACTTCTTCCTTCCTCTCCCCACCCTCACTGCCCTGGCTGGATTTATAGGCATGCACCACCATGTCTTGCTTTTTTACATGGGCTTCAAGAACCAAACTGGGGTCCTTGTGGTTATGTGGCAGGCAGTTTACCATGTGAGCACCTTTATAAAACGGCAGTTTACTGAAATGGCTTCAGAGAGAAAGATACACAACTTAAATACCGTACAAGTTCTTTACCTATCAATATCTTCCAGTTTTTCATCAATGAGAGGTCCCATCTGGTGACACATCGCTAAGATGGCAATTTTTGGAGAAATAAGAAAAGACAAGAAAAGAAAGTAAACTTCTGAAAAATGCTCATTAAAGAAATGAAAAGTTTAATGTGAAGTAATAAAAATACTAATCTCTGGTCAATAGAACCCAAAATTCATTTTCTCAAAGTATAATGGTGACAGTTTAAAAATACTGGATTTCAAGGTTTTTTTTTTCTTCATAAGACTTTAAAGTGCTGAATAAAATAATCTGAATAGCAAGGTTTGTGGTTTCAACCCCTACTCAGGATTTAAACAGCACATGAAAGGTGAGACAGGTACAGGAAGAAGGTGTAATGCTTGTTTCTAAGATGACTCTCAAAAGCCACCCAGGAGCAATATAGTAAGATCTCTGGGTATTCTTTGCTTGCAAGGTAGGCAGAAAATGAGGTTTACCTTCCAGATGAAGTAGCTCTGGTAAGTCTGGCTGGTTATCACTGGGATCTGTACTTTGCAACATCTGTAACAACTGGTCCATTTTATCCTAAAGAAATTAAATAGCTATTGTCAAAAGCAACCAATCTCTATGAAACATTATGTTCTTACTTGATAACTTAATCACAGATAGAAAATTTTTATTTTATTTTTCCAAGACAGGGTTTCTCTGGCTGTCCTGGAACTCACTTTGTAGACCAGGCTGGCCTCAAACTCAGAGATCCACCTGACTCTGCCTCCAGAGTGCTGGGATTAAGGGCATGCACCACCACCACCCACCTTCAGATAGAAATTCTTACAGTTCACAGTTAGGAATGTTAATTTCCTTTTCTGTGTTTAGCATCTTATGTATTCCCTTTAGCACCCGCAAAATCAGACCCTTGTATGCTATTAGTAGGCATTGTTTTTAAAATGTTCAAATGAGAACAGGACCATCCATTTAAACTTACTGGATATAATTTCTCCAATCTCTTATACATATCCTGTTCAAGAATTTCTCTTTGTTTTGGAGCAGCTGTAGCTTAGGCACACAACAGTTGGAGTACCCTCTCAAGACAGTCTGCTGTGACTAACACTCAGTCATTCCGTCTCGCCAGCAGGGAATAGGACAGCTGCTCCACAGGCAGAGCCCAGGCCTTTCACAGCTGTTCCTCTAAGTGGAGCTCTAAGGATTTAATCTGTTCTCTTCCTATCAACTTTCAGCTTCTCATAAAAGAAGAAAAGAAGCTTGTAGCTTATTCTTGTTTGTGTGTGGGAAAAGATGGATAATATCCCAAACCACTTACTTGGCTCTATTTCAGAATCCTTTAGTACTTAGGACTGAAGAAACTAAAAAAAGGCAGTTGCATAAATAGACCCATGCATTATACAAGAGACATTTTTTAAATTTACCAAATTCTATGGAAACTATTACAAACTCTTTTCACTCAAATTTCTATATAGTGATGTTATTACACGTAGGTACACACAGCTAACAATTTAAAGACTACAAGTTCTAAGTAAAATTATTACTCAAGCACAGACTTTCCACTGTTTGAGAGATGGATGGTTAGACTGGAAGTAGAGGAAAGTTCCTGTTAAGTCAAGTGAATTCTGTATTTAAAATGGGTATTCTTTCAAGGTAAAAGACTCATGTTCATCTCCTATTAGAACAACGTGGTTTCTATATGAGCCACAACTGAGTACTCAGACATTTCTTTCTGTAATGCAATCTGGCCAAACAGAATTTTCCTTGACCCAGTTGGACTCCTCAGTACTTAGCACTCGTTCACACTCTTGTTTCTCTCAAAGAGAAAGCAGCAGCACCACCATTTAGACCAGGCTGGAGATGGGGCTCACTAGATTACTTGACAGTCATGTACAAGACTGGCTTCCGGCCCCCCAGGATCATAAAGACAAACAATTGTTTTTAAAACAGTAATTCCAAATTGATCATTTTTCTCTAACTCACTACCTCCTACAAAATTTTATCTAATAATATCTAGACAACTATATAAAACTTCTTTAAAAGTATGTACATAAATTGGCAATACTCTGTGAAATTCATCTATAAGTATTAATGATTTCTATTAGTATATAATGGGCTGAAGTAACAACGTTCAAATTTAAAATAATCAAATGAGCCAGGATTCAAGGTCATTCATATTTAGATTGTTACAGGTGAAAATAACGGGAAGAGTACCATGAGTTCTTGCTATCATTTCTGAGTGCTATAACAGGAATGCTAAGTAGCTTATTAAAAACTATTTTTAGGGGCTGAAGAGAAGACTCAACATTTGAGAACACTAGCTGCTCTTTCAGAGGACCCACATTTGATTCTCAGCACCCATACAGCAGCTTGCAACTATCTATTATTCCAGTTGCAGGGAAACCCAATGCCTCCTTCTGGCCTCTGTGGGCACCAGGCATCTAAGTGGTTGGTGCAAAGACATAAATCTGGGCAAAATACCCACACATGTGAAGTAAAATAAAATTTTAAAAATTTAAAAATTGCATTTAATAATCTATTAGCTAGTAATTCACTGTGTTCTGCTCATCATTTTTGTTGTTGTTGCAAAACTGTGTGAAACCATTTGAATTGTCATTACCACCACCAATATTTGGAAATGCTGCTAGAAATTAATGCACCACAGTAAGGCTCAACATGGGCACAGGTTGAGGCTTTCATCTGTACAGTGGAGAAAGAAACTTTAAAAGAAGAGAAAGAAAATGGAAAATGATGGCAGGGAGTGGTCTCAAGCACAAAATGAAGTTCTAAAGAGTGTTCTACACTGATCTATACCAGGGGCCAGATAGTAAACACGAAGACTATACGATCTCTTCAGTAACTTTAGTACAAAGGCAAAAATACATATGTAGGTATGTATGTAATACAACTACATAAGAATGTCATTATATTTCAAATTTGGCCTGCTGGGGACAGCATCTTGTATGGCTTACTAATTCCATCATTTAATACCATTTACTAAGTTAATTCAATACAATGTTGATATTACTATTCAAAACAAGTAATACTATTAATAACTTTGAATATAAAAATATAACAGCACAGGCTGAAAAGATGGCTCAGCGACAGAGAACAGTTCCTTTTCCAGGGGACCAGAGTTCAATTCCCAGCACTCACATGGCAGCTGACAACTATCTGTAACTCCTGTTCTAAGGAGACAGAAATTGTCTTCTGGTCTTCACAGGCACATGGTGCTCAGATTTACATACAAGCAAAAAACATCCATACACATAAAAATGTTAAATTTAAAAAATATACAGCTGCAAACATGATTCTAGATAAAAATGTAGTAATAGCAAAGATTTCTGTGCAGCTTAGGGAATTATGACATATTAATTGAATTCCGAAGATGTCAAGTTTGGGTTGGAGACACAGCCCAGCAGTAGAGGGCTGGCCTTACAAGCACAAAGTTCTAGGCTCAATTCCAGCACTATAAAACAAACACATACACCAACAAGTTAACCTGACTCCAAACACTACTGTTAGAGTTAAAACTAAGTGTATTTTCAAATACAACCACTGAAAATAATTAGTTTCAGATTAACAATGACATATGGACAGATTTAAAGTAAAATTAATATAAGCTTTTCCCAAAGATTCAAATGTGTTCAATCCAAGGAAGAAGCAAAATTTATTTCACTGATCTGGTTTATGTAGTAGTAATTTAAAGACAGCTTTCCTTCGAAAACCAGCAAGTTTGTTTTATTCTTTCAACAGACAATAAGTGTTCCATAGTCTGTAATGTACAAGCAATTTTAATGACTGTTGAGTATCTGAAAAAGCAGATATTCTCTTTCAAAAATAGACATCATATTCAGTAAAACATGTATTTGGTCTTCTTAAGTAAAATGCTGACCAGAAGTGGTACACTAACCAGAGCAGGTGACCAAGATCAATTATATTTCAGAGCTGTAAAGAATGTATTAAGTTTGATTACTTCCACTTTTTATAAAACAGTCTGAAAACTGAAGAAAATAATTTATAAATTTAGTAGTTGAACCTGACTTCAAACTCAGGAAATCTTGTTTCACAGGCATTTCCTTAAGGTAGGATTTTAATTTTATAGCATTTATTTATTTATACGTTTGTTTATTATAATTTGACTTGAGTTAATTATGCGTATTGTTTAGTAACATTTCCTCAGATGTGGTTTACAACTCTTCAAACTTTGTAGATTTCCTCTTCATTCTATCAAATGGTTGTTTTGAAATACAGAAATTCTAAACATTATTTTGAGTGAGGTAACCCAGACACAGAAAGACAATTATCACATATACTCATTCATTGGTGGTTTTTAAACATAAAGCAAAAAAAAACAAGCCTACAAACCACAATCCCAGAGAACCCAGACCACAATGAGGACAGTAAGAGAGATTTACATAGATCTAACCTACATGGGCAGTAGAAAGTAGAAAAAAACAAGGTCTCCTGAATAAATAGGGATCTTGGGAGAGGGCTGAAGGAGGAGGGGAGAGGCAGGGAGAGGAACAGAGAAAAATGTAGAGCTCAATAAAAAGGAAAAAAAAAAAGACGTCTATCAAACAAAAATAATATTGTAACTGTGGTATGCTTTTAACTTTCTCGTTAAAAATAACAAATGTAAACAAAGCTTGTACCTATATGATGACTCAGAACTATAATCTCAGCAACTGGGAGGCTGAGCCAGGAAGACTGCTTTGAGATCAAGGGTAGCCTGGACTACACAATGAGTTCCGGAGAAACCTGAATTACAGAGTTGTTCTATCTCAAAAAAAGGAGTTTAAATATATGTGTAGCTGCATGTTAAATTTTAAAATGTGTACCCAAAATACTGTGATTAAGTGTTAAAAGATTTGACTCTTTAAAGTAAGGTAATATAATTTAGTTTTCCCACATTTGGGTTTACTTGCTTCCTTGGAAATAATTCAAATAAACTCTGAAAACTCCCTTTACAAATGATCTAATAAAAGAAAATTGCCAATTTTAATGACTTACGACCCTGCAAATGTTAATATGTCACACAGAAAATAACAATAAGACAAAAAATTTCAGTCTTATATTGAAAGAGAAAGACATGAGTTAAATATTTCCTTTTCCATCAAAGTGCCATGAACTTGAAAGGATCTGCAAAGTGGAAACAGGTGTAGTCAACTGTTAGAGTCTTTTTTAAATTGTTTGACACGTTATAATAGTGTGATCCCAAACTGAAACCTGACATTGCATAAGCATTGGAAGATCATAAATCACTTTCGACAGCATGCTGTGGTCTCAGTTCTCCTACAGTGGAAGCATTCTGTAACCGTGATATCATTGCCTAGTAGCACAACNTATCCATTATAAGCTAAGTTTTTAATAAAGTATAAGGTAAAGTTTAGTTTCAATAATATGGTAATAAAAACATAAAATAAAAAAAGCAGGTATTCTCACAAAGCCATCAACAAAAAACTGTAAATCTCCCTTCTGTTCAACAATTTCACAGTACCTATTAACATGAAAAACACATAGATACTTCAGTTTGGAAGTTCCACTCCTGAATAGCTAAGCTAAGAAAAGCAAATTAAATGTTAACAACAAAACAAAAAATCACTATAATACTGTTTGTGATAGCAATTAAAACTGGAAACTGCCTACGTTTCCAATAATCAAATACATCAATATAGATCCAATCTATAAAATACTAGACAGAAATTTGCCCTTAACTTTACATTATTCCCTCTCTATAGCACCGAGATCAATTCAGAGCTTCACACAAGCTACACTAATGTTCAACTATTGAACTGTATCATCAACCCTTAGCAGGATAAATAACAAGATCTTAGGAAGGTAAAAATAGAACTAAAAAAGTTATATCAACATTATACACTTTGTCTCTACTATTAACATTTTCAGAACAAGAAAACAATCCAGCTTCTATACAAAGAGTTCATCACTGTTAACAGGAAAATGACTCACCTCATCGATAAAGGCCGGTTCTGGTTCTGGCTCTATTGTCTCTACCTGAACATCATCACTGAATTGTACCGTCTTCTTCTCTGTTTTGACTTGGAAAAGAAAAAAAAAAAAAAAACATAAAAATTATATTCTCCCTAAAATAAATCTAAAAGTTTAAGCCCTAATAGAGAACATGGACTTTAGAGACTCAATATAAGGTAGAGCTGAACAGAAGATATCCTAGAACACAACAGAACACTACTTGATAAAATTGTCTAAATTTTCTATTTTTTTCTTGCAAAGATCTTTATTTCCTATAAGCAATCTTACTAAAAATAAGTTATGCTTCTGAAATAAAAAATACCTACCTTCAGGATTCAATAAATTTCTACAAAAATAAAGCTTAATACTGGCATAAATAAATTCTGTAATCTAAAACAATTCTTTTTTTTTAAAAGATTTATTTTATTATGTATACAATGTTCTTCCTGCATGTACACCTCTATGCCAGAAGAGGGCACCAGATCTCATTACAGATGGTTATGAGCCATTATGTGGTTGCTGGGAATTGAACTCGGGACCTCTGGAAGAACAGCCAGTGTTCTTAACCTCTGAGCCATCTCTCCAGCCCAACAATTCTTTTAAAATGACTTGACAATTCAAAAGAAAATTTTTCTTTGATAGCAACACCACATTCCTAAAATAATGAACTGGAAAATCATGTATGTCCTGTGGCATAGCACTAGGCTATCTACCCAGAGAGTAAGCGGTCTCAGCAGGAATTTGCACAGGCCAGCACATAAGCCTGATTTTCTACATTCACTGTACTCAAAAGAGAAACATGGTAAGATTCGGCAAACAATTGGCCTTAACAGATTTCTCTTGCTCACCAAAGCAATCTTCAACTTCAAATAACACCAAAAAGTATAGACAGTTCTAGAGAATGATTATCTTTTCTGGATTTTTGGTCCTTGAATCGATTAGGTCAATAAAACATGAAAATATCAGTAATAAAGGGAGATGTCACAGTAGGAGAAACTATGGACAGAAATAATTATTCATTACACGACTCAAAGTGCTTGATGGAGTATTAATTTGCTCTGATGGATTTCCAAATCAATCCTATGGTATACTTACTTATAATAAAGTGGTTTAAAAAGATTAACAATCAATTGGAAAGGCCGGACTTGAATGTCAACTGGTCTTGTCTTTTAACTTCCTACTCGAATCTGGCTTGTGACTCGACTGTGAAAAGTTGTTGTTGTCATGTGTTACAGGCTTTGGTATTGCCTGTTTAATTGGAAATGTAAGGAACATGCTCATTCCATTCAAGTCACCATAAAGCCACATTCTACATATCAAAAAAACAGAACACAAGTGGCTGACTCATTTTCCCATGGGGAAAGAGACATCTGTTATAGACATTCTGCTTGTTATCATGCACTATTATCAAGTAGAGAGCTGGGACAACTCTGCAGTCATTGGCTCTTACCCAAAAGAAAACACATGACAGACTTCACAGAACTGATAATGCATAAGTTTGCAGTCCCTTTTCTCATAGAAACTGATACCAAATATATATGATATACAAAATATGAATATGCTATTTACATATATAATGGCATATTTTCAAAATAACTCTGTCTCCAAAATAAAATGAGAATCTATATGACAGATAAAGTGAATTTGGCTTCTACTTCCTATAAAAGACTGATACTACAGGGATCCTAGCATGTTTTCTAAATCTGAGATCTATTATTACATTACATAGATTCCTATCCTCCTTTTTCTCTTACACTGTCCAAAGTGAAACATGCAAGAATTAGAAAACTCACAGTACAGTTGCATCGTTATATGAAAGATAAAGATGAAACAGCTACATAGCAAGCATGAGTGAGATCTAGGCTCTCATTCCGAACACACACACACACACACACACACCCCAAAACCCAACAAATACCTACAGCTATCAGACTATTAAAAAAGAGAACAGGGGCTGGAGAGATGGCTCAGTGGTTAAGAGCATTGCCTGCTCTTCCAAAGGTCCTGAGTTCAATTCCCGGCAACCACATGGTGGCTCACAACCATCTGTAATGAGGTCTGGTGCCCTCTTCTGGCCTGCAGACATACACACACACACACAGACAGAATATTGTATGCATAATAAATAAATAAATAAAATATTTTTTTTAAAAAAAGAGAGAACATACCACGCAAGGCCATTCAAATAGGCTTACATGGGCTTTTTAATGCTTTTTTTTTTTTAAGTTACAGAGACATGCCTGTCTGTGTTTTAGAGTATGTGCATGTAAATGCAGGTACTTGAGAAGGGCAGAGGCTTTGGAACCCCTGGAGCTCAAAGTTAAAGGTAGTTTTAAGTCACTCAGTGTGAGTTCTGGGAAATGAACTTGGATCCTCCCAGCCATCTCTCCAGTCCCCAAGTTTATGCATTTCTTGAGTTCCAATGATTATTTTAGCTCTAGCAAGTATGTTAAAAGAATATCAAGATCTGACTCTACAAAGGTAAAAAGTCAGTAGCTATGAGAGAAAACCATTTCATTAAAGATCTATAATTTCTGAGTTGCTGTTGAAGACTTTTCTTCATTCCTAACACAAATACACAAACCAAAAACTGGCAGAAATAGTGTTTTAACTCTTAGAATGTTTCTGATAAGGATTTTATTTATTTGCTCTTAGAGAAGAGGTGTCATGTAGCTCAGGATGGCCTTCACTTCACTGTGTAGCAGTTACTCCTCCACATACTGGGACTGCAGGAGAATTGAGACTACAAGCATGCACCACCACAATACGGAGCTTGAAATTTTATTATTTAAAACAATTAGAGGTAAAAATGTTTAAGTCATTTGCCTATAAAGCTGATTTTACTCAACTTTCATCAAGAAGACTAAGGATTACCATCAATAGACCAACAAGTACTTACTCATTTCTGGTTCAGCAGTGAGATCTGCAGTCACAAAATTAGAAGGGAAAAGCCCTATGCCTTGATGGGTTTCACCTTTCCACCAGTTGGGATCACTAAGACAAACAAACAAAAAAAAGAATGCTTTACCACGAGACCTATTTCTGTAAGACTTTACTGTTCATAGTATTTAACTTGCATTATCACCAGACTGGAATCCAACTCAATCATCAATCTAATAAAGAAATAGCAGTCTATATTCACAAACAGGAAGCAAACAGTTTCAATGGCATCATCAATTAGTGTGAGGTTCTGATACAAAGAGAAAATGAACCCCACAAACAAAACAAAAGTTTTTGAAGCCACAGTTCTTTCCCTCAGAAGGTCAATAAATTCTCTGAGAAGCTAATAAAAAACTATGAACTCCCCCCCTTTGGGTAAAAAAGATGTCATTAGGCTTAAGATCATAAGTGTCAGGTGGTGCCTTGGGCTTCAACATAAGAGCTCTTTCTAGTAAGATGTGGACGTGGACTCTTGGACCATATCTCCATCCCTACACCACTACTCTTCCATGCATACACTAATAGGGACTGGTTTCTTCTTCCACCCTGACACATACAATAGATGATGCCACGTGCAGTACAAAACCTGAAACAGAACTGTCTCCAGTGCTCACTATACAGAAAGTCAGCAAGTATGTAATAAATCCTTTCCCCAAAAAATGAATGATGCAATTCCAGCTAAACAGCTCTAAATTTACCTTATTTTGGCTTCTTCATGAAAATATTAAAATATACTGAATGTCTGTCTTCCTAAAATTCACATTCTGAAATCAGAAGGGTTATCTTTGAAAAGTGATTAATTCTGTAACCTTATAAAAAAGATTTCCAATTGTTTCTTTGCTTGTTCTGGCACATACGATACCAAAGTGAACACACAGCTATGTCTGAACCTGAAAGAGCCCAAACCATGTGCCAAATCTGACAGATCTTGGACTTTTCAATCTCAGAACTCTGTTGTTTAATGGTATTTGGCAGCACTAAAGACTAAAGCAATAAAAACCTGAAAACCTTATGCTGTGCAGCTCCTCCCCCATGACACCATAGACATGGAACTATTATATTTACATGGTTCTGTGGTTCTGTATGGATACTGTCAATAGATCATGTACTTCCTTCAGATCAATCCACCATACTTTCTGAAACTTTAACCTTTTACAAGATTTAACAATTACTAAATGGAACAAAAAATAAACAGAAAATAACAGGTTTCCCAAACAATTTAAGTAGCATAAATGAGGTGAAAATTAGACTAAAAAATAAATCAATATAGTATGAGGCAAGCCTGCTAACTAACTATCATCTAAAACATCTAGTCAATACTTTGTTTGGTAAATAATTATACTCAATAAAATATTATTAAAATAAGGGTTTACAGAATATATTTTCTCAAGTATTTAATGTATAAGTAACCATTACCTGTCATCAAGAACTGTAATAAGTTCTCCAGCTTTAAAAGTAAGTTCGTTATCCTCAGCAGCTTCAAAGTCATATATAGCACGAACTTTTCTACCTTCATGTTGGTGGTTAGTTAAGAGATTAGATGTGCTTGGATACAAAGAGGAAAGGGTAGCTGACTGCTGTCTTTGCTCTTTGAGAGACAACTCAATTGCTGTAAAACAATGAGATTTTAAAGACCTCAAATATGAATACAGCCAATAATACACTGAAAGTATCATTTTTCAATAGTGAACAGGAGACTAGTGCATATCCTCATACAATAACAAATCATTAGACACTACATACATTTACCCATCTCTGAAAGAATAAAAATAACTTCAAAAATTTGACATTTTTTTATTGAAAAATTGCAATTTAAATTATTCTAAGTAATAAAAAGACAAACTTCATTTAAAAAATAAAGCAGCTCTGCTTCATCTGAAGCCATTTCCTTAATCTATAAATTGCTAGGAAACGCTATTCAGCCAGAGACCTATCTTCTTCACTCCCTTCCAGGACTTACAAACTACACTCACCTTTTGCTAAATCTTCTTCTTCCTTTTTGTTAGCCACAGTGCCAGGGTCTTTGGCTACCAGGGCTGGGCTTGCTTTCGCTTGTTCAGCAGCCTAACATACATGTAAAAGTAAAGACAAAGAGTGAGAGTCATTCTCAAATAGTCTATGGATACCTAACCTAAAACCTTGTAAGACCCGCCTCATTAGTCTACTACAGACTTCTCAAGAAGACAGACAACCAGTCTGGAAGGCCTTCCACTTAAAAGAGGAAGGAACATCAGAAATGGGAAAATGAAAAGCAACTGGACAGGTTGATAGACAATCTGCATTTTCTCAGATTAATATAGACGATAAACTAAAAAACAATGTGTGGGTCAGAAAAGAAACAAAAACAGTATTTTATAATTTTAGAAGAATTTCAGAACTAGAAGAGAGGTCAGTCAGGAGAGGAAAGTAAGGGAATATTTTAAAAACAAACACTCCGGAGAATTCTGTATTTGTATTTTACTGTTTCCTTTCAGGTGAAAAGGCAGAAAGTAATGTATAAATGAACTCATATTTATAAAAACAACTGAGAGTGTCCCCCTCCCCCGAAATAGGGTTTCTCTGTGTAGCCTTGGCTGTTCTGGAACAAACTCTGTAGAGAAGACTTGTCTTGAACTCACAGAGATCCTCTTGCCTTTGCCTCCTAAATGCTGCGATTAAATGTGTGTGCAACCATGGCCCAGACAAATAAAATCTTAAAACCGCATGTTATAAAAAAGAATACAAGCAACTTCGATAGAGTGTCATGTTGACAATTGTATCATAAACAAGACAATGTTTAGATAGAAATATGTGCTAATTCACATGTCTGGAGTTAGAAGCTTCTAAGCTTCATGGCCTTTTAGGCCATCCATTCACTCAATGCAGATCAGAATGTAGCCTAGTTTGCAAGTTTCCAGAAGGTAATAGTGGTTCCTGAGCAGACTACACACAGCAACTTCTACACCCATGGTTCATATTGCTTCTAGTTATAATGTTCCCCTTGGTTCACTGTGCTCCACCACTGTTTTTGGTCCCTACTAAGTTCCAACTCGATAGTAAGTAGCTAATGAATCACTTTCTCAAAGAAAAAAAAAAAATCCTAAACCCTTAAACATTCTTTGTGACCTCTGGTACTTAAACAAGGATTTGGAACAAGCTAATATAAAATGGGTGATACAAGCTGAATGCTGGGTGTGGTAGCACAGGCTTTTAGTCCCAACACTCAGGAGGCAGAGGCAGGTTGAGTCTCTGTGAGTTCAAGGCCAGCCTGATTTACAGAGCGAGTTCCAGGAGAGTCAAGATTACCCTGAAAAACCTTGCCTCGAAAAACAAACAAACAAACAATCACAAGTTGAAGAATCAGGCAAATGTAACATTGACATCTACCATACTTTCCAGTCACACGAGTTAGCTCTGCAATAAAGTAAGGATATAAGAATATCTGCTTCTCATGGGTGCATTACAACAAATTTAGAGGCCCAGGTTAGCATGTATAGCTTCTAAAATCAGATGAGAGAAGGTTCAATCTGAGTTCAAAGCAAAAGTATGATATTTATATAGAAGGGTTCACCATAATGTATATAGAGGTGATTCATATGAAAACTACAAGAGATGTTGAGACAGGGAGTAAATGAAATAGCAAATGATATAGCACTAACTTGATTACAAATCAATAAAGAAATCACTGCAATCAATTAAGAAAAGTAGAATAAGAATTTTTCACATTATCACATGTACAGTACTCGGAACAATAGCTGACACACAGCAAGGGGCAGTAAATCTGTTTCTAGTGTAATTGAGTTTCTGCCTTTCCTACCAGACTATAGTCCAGGGAATGTGTCTCACTCTTTCTTGTATAATACAAAGCAAACAGTCAACATAACAACAAAACATAGCTATAGATTTGTCACACTGTATTGTACACTATCAGATGCCTAAGCAATTTTTCCTAGTTCCATATATTCATTTAAACACAACTTTAGCCACTCTTAATTCTGACCCATATCACCTACGTAGAATCTTAGATTCTGTCGTGACTAGTATACATGTCTACAAGTTAGAAGTGTACTTGGTCAGACAGTCTTTATCATTTATATAATTTTCTTTTCATTATTTGCTGACTTAAAACACACAAGCTGCTATTTTATACTCTTTGATGAAACCATCTACCAACTCTGAGGGAAGTACAGAAAGAAGTCATATGAAGAACCACGTTTCTCAACTGTGTGCTCTCATTACCCACCCGAGAGACTCATCATGAACTAGTCAGCATGGCAGCAGTCCTAGTGCTCTACTACTATGTCAAGACCTAACAGGCCTGTGCAGCATGAGTCAGGTGTGAAATATGATTTCCAAAACATGTTTACATCATTTTCTTCTGTCTTTGAATAAAAAAACAAATAAATCTTTATATATTCAGAGGCTTTTATTACGTCTGCTGATAAAAATCTAGCCTCATGAAACTGCAGCAAGACCTTCAGTAGCTAAGTAGCTTTAAAGTCTATAGCAGACTCTGCAGTTGGACCTGTACCATTTGCTTTTCATTAAACAGAGTTTTATAATTTCTAAGGACAAGTTTCTCAGAAACAATTTACTTTCTATACCATTTTCTGTAGCTGAAAGATAATTAGAATAAAAATGTTTTTGCATATATCTATATAAAAAGCTTTAAGTATCAGTCTTCCACATCTGAAATAATGTGAACAAGAGAATAATGTAATTTCTATACCAATCATTAATAAATGCTCTTGGCAGTGACCACTACACTTCTTGCCCCCATGAAGCCTGATCTAAACAGAAGTGCATCTAGTAAATACTATCAGAAAGCAGGCAAGAGCAGGTAGTATAAAAAAAGACAATGAACTGAATTATCTAGTGGTCTTTCCTGCAGCCACTCTCAGAATCAGTTCTCTCATGTGCAAACAAAGGGGTTACATCAGAGGACCCCTGAAGCTGCTCCCGCAACTATCTAACATTCTAGACGAATGAACGAGGCTCCTCGTGAAATATATCACTACCGTTTCCTTCTTTTACAAGGGCAATTCCATCTATGGAATCAGAAGTGTTTGCATTTGCGCTGACGGCTGTGGTCTGGAGTAGTGCTTCTCAACTCCATGTGCAGTGACAAGCACCAGGGATCTTACTAAATGGAGACAATGAGCCCACAGGTGTGGAGGGACCTCAGAGGCTGGAGTCCTGATAATCTCCCAAGAGGTCGTGATAATGATGGTCAATGAATCACATTTGGAGCAACAAGCTCATGAGGAGGGATAGAAAATGCAATTTTACTAAGTTGTAGTGATATTTTATTTCTATTTTAATAAATAAAGTTTGCGTGAAGATCAGAGAGTTAAAAATTAGCCACACTGGTCGGCCATGTATACCAGCCAGTGGTGGCACACATCTTTATTCCCAATAGTCACACTAGTTAGCTATAAAGCCAGGTGGTGGTGGTGTAATCACAGCACTAGAGAGGAATATAAGACAGGAGAAGACAGGTCTCAGCTCAGTTTCATTCTTTAGATTCCTCGAGGTAGGATGGCCATTTCAGTCTAAGGTAGAGGTAAGAGCCAGTGGCTGGCTGCTTTGTTTCTCTGGTTGAACCCCAATATCTTTCTCTGGGTTTTTATTAATTGTATTATACTAAGTCAGCTCTCTATCTCTCCAGTGCATCTACTTTTTGATAGACATTGTTTCTATTGCCAAGGAATTTATAGTACCTTGGATTGTTTTGTATAAAAATCATTAATTTAAAAATTTCAAGATTATTAATAAAATCCAGCTATCAATTATGAATGAATATTAAGACATATCAACATAAACTTAATTTTAAAAACTAGTTTATTAAGCAAAAAGAAAATAATCCACTTGCTTCTTTTCTCTCCTGGATACTTTTCTTAATCTTCACATCTAAAGAGCACTCAAATAAAATGAAAATGCCTTGTGAAGAAAATCTAGATAGCTCTAGACAAAAGTATACAATTGACTCCTGAATGTGGTCAACAGTCAGAAGGTAAGCTCTTCAAAGAAGGGACTGTTTGCTTTATGGCTTCACATAATTTGTCAGAATTTGTTCCAATCCATACAGCAGGAAAAGAGAATATACAAAATTACTATGCATACACTCTTAAGGACTGGCTACCCAGACTAGAAAAGACATATAAAAGATGTCCCTTGACTTTTTTACCATATGACACAAATCAGAAATTCATTGCATTACACAGAAAGTTGTGTGTGCCAAAGGAAATCTACCCCTGCGCCCATGATATCTTTTATAGAGAAGGCAAGACTCAGGATCTACCTAGCTCTTGTTTAAAAAAGTAAAAGTTGTCTCACTGTCCCATTGGCCTCTCCTATCTCCTAATTTAAATAAAGGTATTAATAAATTCCTCAATAAAAAGATATTCTAATTTTTAAGCTATCATTCTTTGTAGATAACAGTATTAAGAGCATTTAACAAGACTGTCCATTGTTACCTAATCTAATATAATTTGTTGTAGTAAAACTAAATAAAGAATTTAAATTACAAAACATTAAAGCAACTCCTTTTTGAAGGAGAGGCATTGGGAAAAAAGAGCCTAAAGCATACTAATATTCTACTATAAACCACTCTACAGCAGTCAAAGTTAACTATAAATGAAAACTAGAGAAAAATTAAGACAAAGCTACTTTAGAAGAAAAAAATGAACACAAAATACCTGAGAGCCAATAGCTGGGAATGTAACACCTTGTTCCTTAAGGTTCTTAATCATTGCCGATATCAGACTAAGCTGTGGATCATTCTTAAATTCATCTGTCCATTCAACCATGAGAGCCTTTAATTTTTCACATACTTTAGGATGACCCTAAGAAACAGGAAAAAAAAAAAAGAAGAAAAAATATAAAACTTCTAAAGTGTTATAGATCTCTTTTAAAATCATAAATTGTCCCTCTATAAGAGATGCTCTTTTAAATATATATACATTTCCTAAAGCAATAGACTACACTTATGAAAATAAGAAAATAGTTAACATCTATAAATCAACAACATTACTTTCATACCATGAAAAACAATAAAAGATACCTACATCTCACTCCAAAACGGAAACACTGAATGTGTAATAAACTTACTTTGGAGTTGGAAGGGCACGTCTTTTCAGTGTAACTTACAACTTTATATGCTTTATACACCAGCACAACAAAGAAAAATAACTTATTTTGCATTGCTATTTTTATTTTTAAAAAAACCTGCAAGGAGAGAATAAACTTTATTCCTTTCAGTTTTCCCATGACTCTTAGCTGAGGTCTGGGTGAAGCACACTACGTACTAATTATCTTAGGAGCGCCCTTTCTTCCGAAGAGCACCTCCCCTTGAGGAAGAGCTAAACACATTTAAAGTTCCCTCTATATATGTTTCTGTCTTTCCAGACAGCTGTTTATAATGCTCTGTAATTTTTTCCTGCATCTTAATTAAAGTTACAGAAAATATGATAGCAAACTATCTTCTTAAAGAATCATTCCTTTTACTGGACATTCAGAACACTGGAAAGCGTGTTCATTCATTAGTTAAAAAACAACAATTGTGATTCACTACAGCAGAAAAGGGAATCATGATTGAGACCTATAAAATTTTTATTTCCTTTCACATTTCTGTACAAGTTTTTTTCCTACTAAAACTCAGAAGCATTCACACTTCACAATGGCCTGAAGAATTACCCTATAAACATTAAAGCCTTTTTCTCGACATACAATACCAAATAGTTTAAGCCAGAAATAATTACTTCTAGAACATGAAATTTTTACTAGAAAGACTGTTACTTTTCTATTTTTAGACTCCTTGAATTATGCACTGAATTTTTTCTGATATGCAGTATTATAGTTCACAGCTCTCTTGCTTTCTTTGTCCAGATAAAAACATACATATACCTATATGACCAGAACAGCTACATGTTTTCCTCTATAGACTTGAAAATAAGCCAGACTTGTTTAAATTCTTGGCTGAAATACTAAGGATCAAATATGTGGTTAAACACACAGAATCCACCCTGGCTTTGAGCAATTTCTTCAAGTCCATAGTGTGATCATCCTATAATTTTCTAACCAGGCACCTTCATTATAGACATATCTGAAGAGACTATCTCATTTCTACCATGTCCATCACCAGGACTCTGCTGTTCTTAGTATCTAAGTTCCACTAACAAGTGCTATGTGCTGACACTCCTGGAATCGAGTGCTTCTTAGTTTGGAATCACAATGGGCCCAGTCTTGGCTTAGGGTCAATCCCTAGTAAGAACTTCTCTATCTACAGGTCTGGCCCAACAGAACAGTCATTTAATAGGAAAACCCTGTGATGGTCAGTCAGGTAGTGTCCCTGTTCACATAAGAACATTCAACAGGACTTTAAATTCTGGCAGTTTCTTCTGAAGGATTCTACATTTTGTGTTAAAAAAAAAAAAATGGTACCAAAAAAGTGCCTAAAGTAGATTGGTAGTATTTCATTAAATATATAAGAATGTATGTTTTCTTCTCAGATGAAAGGATAGAAGGACACTGAATCTATTTTAATGTGGTTTGCAAAAGAACCAACACTAAAATTTATGTGGATTTGTAGTCTTTTCAAGGAAACACAGACATACAGAAACACAGCTCTTATTTATAATCTAGAAACACATACACACATATACACAGACACACAAATTCTTTGGAATTTAAAATGGGAAGAACTTAACAATAAAATACACCAAAAAAGAAGGCTTCCTTGATTTCTGGACATAACGTCCCTTACCTTATTTAATACGTTGCTTACTTCACTAGCAAAATCTCTTGAACATACTTCTAAGTGAAAAATTTTGCCACAGTTTGATACACATGCTCCTAGAAGCTATAAGCATAAAGTTAAAATTAAAAGGGTTCAATGATGAAAGACAATTAAGCAGTGCTTACTTAAAATGAACCAACTTACAGTTAGAGCTTGCATAGCAACATGGGGGTCTTTATGGTTCACTCTTCTCATAACAGAACGAAGACAGTCTTTAGGTCTAAAAAAATGAGAAATTTAACAATTAATAATAAATCTAGCTATCTCCACTTAAGTGTATAAAAGGGGAAATACTATAAAAGAGTTAGATTATTAATGACATCTGAAAACTATAGTCTAGTTCCTTTAAAATTTCCAAGGTATCGTCATGTTCTCTTGCTTAGATACAGATGAGGCATTTCAAGCTAATTCTGCATTAAAAATTGTGGGTAACAATATTAATCTGAACACACTGAACCTGATAGAAGAGAAAGTGAGAAGTAGTCTACAACACATGGGCACAGGAGACCACTTCCTACGTATAACCTCAGTAGCACAGACAATAAGAGCAACATTGAATAAATGGGACCTCCTAAAACTGAGAAGCTTCTGCAAAGCAAAGGACACTGTCACTAAGACAAAAAGGCAACCCACTGACTGGGGGAAGATCTCCATCAAAGTTCTGATCTCCAAAATATATAAAGAACTCAAGAAACTAGACGTTAAAATGCTAATTAACCCAATTAAAAAATGGGGCACTGACCTGAACAGAGAATTCTCAACAGATGAAATTCAAATGGCTAAAAGACACTTAAGGATATGCTCAACCTCCTTAGCGATCAGGGAAATGCAAATCAAAACAACTTTGAGATATCATCTTACACCTGTCAGAATGGCTAAAATCAAAAACACCAATGATAGCCTATGCTGGAGAGGTTGTGGAGTAAGGGGAACACTCATCCACTGCTGGTGGGAATGCAAACTTGTGCAACTACTTTGGAAATCAGTGTGGAGGTTTCTCAGGAAACTGGGAATCAACCTACCTCAGGATCCCGCAATTCCACTCTTGGGAATATACCCAAGAAATGCCCAATCATATTACAAAAGCATTTGTTCAACTATGCTCATAGCAGCACTATTTGTAATAGCCAGAACCTGGAAACAATCTAGGTGCCCCTCAATAGAAGAATGGATAAAGAACATGTGGCACATTTACACATTAGAGTTCTACTCAGCAGTAAAAAACAATGATATCTTGAACTTTGCATGTAAATGGATGGAAATAGAAAACGCTTTACTGAATGAGATAACCCAGACCCAAAAAGATGAATATGGTATGTACACTCATAAGCGGATTCTAGCCATAAACAAAGGACATTGAGCTATAGTTTGTGATCCTAGAGAAGCTAAGAAGGTGAACCCAAAGAAAAACACATATTTATCCTCCTGGATATTGGAAGTTGACAAGATCGTCGGGCAAAAGTTGGGAGCAGGGGGGTGGGGGTAGATTGGGGGGAAGGGGAGATGGGGAGAAAGAAGGGCGAAGGGGAGGATTGGGAAGAGCTTGGGGTAATGGGATAATTGAGATGGAGGAAGGGTGGATATGGGAGCAGGGAAGAAGTTATCCTAATCAAGGAAGCCATTTTAGAGTTGGCTACAGTCTTGGCTCTAGAGGGGTTCCCAGGTGTCCAAGGGGATTTCACCAACTAGTTCTGTGGGCAGCAGAGGAGAGGGTGCCTGTACTGGCCTTATCCTATAGCCACACTGATGAATATCTTGCATATCACCATAGAATCTTCATCCGGCGATGGAGGGAGATAGACAGAGACCCACAATGGAGCACTGGACTGAGCTCCCAAGGTCCAAATGAGGAGCAGAAGGATGGAGAACATGAGCAAGGAAGTCAGGATCACGAGGGGTGCGTCCACCCACTGAGACAATGGGACTGATCTAATGGGAGCTCACCATGGCCAGCTGGACTGGGACTGATGGAGCATGTGATCAAACTGGACTCTCTGAATGTGGCTAACAATGAGGGCTGACTGAGAAGCCAAGGACAATGGCATTAAGTTTTGATTCTACTGCATGGACTGGCCTTTTGGGAGACTAGTCTGTTTGGATGCTCACCTTCCTAGACCTGGATGGAGGGGGGAGGACTTTGGACTTCCCACAGGGCAGAAAACCCTGACTGCTCTTAGGACTGGACTGGGGAGGGAGAGGGAGTGGAGGGAGTGGAAGGGAAATGGAAGGAGGTGGACATTTTTAATAAATAAATAAAAATATGGGTAAAAATAGGTTATAGAGGTATATTATTTGTAATTTAATAATTAAATAAATCTTGCCTGAAGACCAGAGACAAAGCTAAAGCCACTAGAGGTCAGGTAATGGTGACACACACCTTTAATCCCAGGATTTGGGAGTCAGAGTCAGATGGATCTCTGTGAGATCAAGGCTACCCTGGGCTACACAAGATCATTGCAGAAACAAACTAGATGGTGGCGGTTCACACCTTTAATCCCAGTCTTAGGGAGTCACACCTTTAATCCTAGAACTAGAGGGAATATAAAATGAAAGGAGAGAGAGGTTTACTCTGCTTAGTTTGTGGTCGCCTAGCCTTGGTAGAGGTAAGACTTCTCTAGTGGTTTGGGTGTTTTGCTTTTTGGGTTTTCAGGTTGAACCCCAATTCTGTCTCTGGGTTTTCATTTTTTGTGCTACAGAAAGCTAAGACATTTCAAGTCATAACAAAATAAATTCAGCAAGATATAGATATAGATATAGATTCCTGTTATAAACAATTACAAAACTAGAAAATGCATATGAAATATGTACTGAGAGATACTGCCCCATAGTTTTGGTAGTGACAGCAGCTCCCTCTAGTCCTGGCCCAAGTGAACCGAGCTTGACCTGCTCCATACAACTGTGAGCAAAAGAAAGGTGATGATCAAAAAGCAGACAGGTCCCCCCGAGCTGCAACAGGACTTGGTGGAGTGATCTACTCAGATAAGGAGAACCATGACACAGGAAAGGACACTGCAGCCTAAGTCCCATTTACCGTAGTGCAGGAGTGAGTAGTCACAATCTGTCTCATGAAGAACAAATGCAAAAAGAGAGCTTGATAAGAGGTATAAGCCACGTATGAGAAGCGTGGCATGGAAAGGAAGTTCAGTAGCTATGACATAAAAAACAACACTACATCTACTTCTACCTGGGCTAAGTGGCCAATCTTCTGCTCAACGCCATCTAAAATGACTATGTCACAAACTCAGTGATCTACAAGTTAGAGATTTCTACAGTGCTGGAAGCAGAGCTCAATGGGAAATTCAGATGTAGGCGTGGACTACTAACAGCATATAGACAGTAAAGGCTGTGCACAAGAGGCTTCAAACAAGAGCTACGGATTCTACAGGGAATTGAGTCAGGCCATTTTTGTTATATTCTGGCAAAGAACTTGCCTACACTTGTCCTGAGAATTTGTGAACTTCAAAGAAGTAGAGTACTTAATCTGTTTAAGGATATTTCAAACCAAGACACCATTTAGGCTGTAACATGATTACTGCTAGCTGCTTTTAGCTAACTGTACATAGAATCACAGTGGAAAACACAACAGAAAGGCCTGGAAAGTTTGCAGCTTACCCAGAGAGTAACTGTTGATAAAGTTGGGGCCAGGAAACTAGTTGCTGAAGAGATAAAAACTATTAAAAGTAAGTCAAATACTCTACATCAGTACAGTAGGAAAGATACTTAAAGGACTCTGAAGGAGGAGTCACACCATACCCTGCATTTGACTGTTTTAAGAAGAGAGCTCGCAGGGTAATGGTGGTGCACACCTTTAATTCCAGCATGTGGGAGGCAGAGGAAGGTAGATCTCTGTGAGTTTGAGGCTAACCTGGTCTATAGAGGGAGTTCCAGGACAATCAGGGCTGTTAACACGGAGAAACCTTGTCTTGAAAAACAAAAAAACAAAAAAACAAAAAACAAGAAAGAGAGAGAGCTCTAGGGTATCCCACACAGCGAGCAGACCAGGAAACGCCTCCACATTATCAAGACCCTCTATGGTGTGACCAAAGGAACCCAAAGACTCTTCAAGCTGGGAGAAGCCCTTGGCTGGTTTTGCAGACGCACAGTGTCACAAAACCTTCCCTCCAGATGATCACAAAACCTTCCCTCCAGAGTTCAAAGAAATACCTAGGAGGCCAGGGAAAAGGTCAAGATTCCTACAGTGGCCAAGACTGTAATTTGTAAATCTTTGACAGTGGGACATAAATGGTGTAATACAACGTAGATCCTAGGAAGTCAGAGATGCCCGGAATGTGGAATGAATGTCAAGGTAAGCCACCGGCAATAAGGGGGCGTCAACTCAAGAGAGAGGCTGTGAAAGCAACAATGCAAAGGCTGTAAGATTGGGCTTACCACTGAACAGGAAAAAAATATTTGCCAGTTATACATCTGATACAGGATTAGTAACTAGATTATACAAGAATTAGAAAAGCTAAACATCAAGACAACAAACAAGTCGATTAAAAATGGAGTATAAAACTAAACAGAGTTCTCAAGAGGAGAAATACATATGGCTACTAAACACTTCATATCCCTAGCAATAAAGGAAATGCAGATTATAACTACCTTAAAATTCTTCACCCAGTCAGCATAAAGAATAATGGCAACAAATGCTTGTGCAGCACAGAGCATCTTTTTACACTGTTGGTAGAACTGTAAGCAGTGTAACATTTAGGGAAACAACCTGGAGGGGCCTCAAAAAACTTGAAATAAAATTACCACAACTCATCCATGCCACTCTTGGGCATCCCAAAGTAATCTATGTCCTATGACTTGCTCATTCAGATTCACCTCTATCCTGCAGTCAAGACAGGGAATGGCATCAGTTAGACGCTCATCTTGATGAATAGGAAAATGTGCTACATACACCCAATGAAATTCTATTCAGCTGAAAAGAAAACTTAAATTTTGAATTTTTCAGGTAAATGAATGAAACGAGTGTGCAGGAGTACTGAGTAAGGTAACCCAAACCCAGAAAGACAGATGTCACATATTCTCTTTCATAAAGGATCCTAGCTTCAAGTTTTGCTTTTTGTATTTAACTTGGAGTACTTGCAGAAGCCACGAAACTGAAAGAGGTCAGGGCCTTAGGAGGACTGCAGAACACAGGTAAAAATATTACAAAAGGGGATTAGTGGAGACAGGAAGGGTTAAAAGAGGAAGGGGAGGGGAAGAGGTGGAGAG